CCAGCATGAGGATGACAGAAGGAGCAGGGCCAATGTTGGGGGGCAGTGCTATTCCAGATCCCATCCCCTGTGGGCGCCTCCATTGGGGCCCTTCCCCCAGCGTTTCAGTGGGCTCCTGAGCCCTGGTACAGACCCCACCCCCACCACACAGGCTGACATTAATCACCAGAGCCCCACCTTGGCCATATTGACCATACTGGGCCCATCTGGCCTAGATTACCCATCCCAGAGTTCGTACTGGTGGGCGGGTGTGGCAAATTGGGTGATGGGCCCCAGCTGCGCATGGCCTTTGCCCCACCCAGCCACTTGCAGCCAAAGGACCAGTGAGACGCCAATGAGGGTGCTGAGGGAGCTCCTGTCACTCAAGATGACTCCAAGCTACCCTGAGGTCCCAGCCAACTCTGTAGACCTGAGGAAGCCCCTGAGCAAGGAACCTAGCCCACCAAGCGGTGACCTTGGACAAGCCTTCTGGGCCTGTTTGTCCATCTGCAAGTGAGAGGTTTGGAGAGATGCCTGAGAAGGTCTCGTGGCAGGAATGAACTTGCTATTTGACAGCGTGGAGCAGAAGCTCAGGGCCTAGGAGTCTGCATTTTAAACCAGGTCCCAGGGTGTTCACGACTCATGGGAAAGTCCAAGAGCAGCCTCAGTGAAGCTCTACTACCCCCACCCACCCTGGTGCACCCTGGCCAGCCATACGTTAGAATCCCAGGGAGCTGGCAGAGATGCAGTGGGGAAGGCATGGGGGTCTGACTGGTGTTGATGAAGGCAGCCTGGCCTGGCGCAGAGGGAAGTGAACCAGTTCAAAACTCTCATTGGGATCATAGTGGCCAGAATTTATTAGTGGGTTGAGTGTGGCAGGTGAGAAAGAGAAGAGTCCAGGATGAGGTCTGGGTTTGGGGCTTACGAACTGGGTGGAGCTGTTTGCTGAGAGGGGAAAGATGAAGAGAGAATGGTGTAGGGATGCAGGGATGGGCCGTGGGAGCTGAGCAATCAAGGGTTCCACGTTGGGTGCTTTTGCTTGAGATGCCTGTTGGAAACCCGACAAGTGGGTGGGACATTCAAGGGAGAAGTCTGCATGGGAGACAGGGCACCATCAGC